GTTTATCTACAAATATCAAATCAAGCCACTGGATAGCTAATGTTGACCATTAAGTTAGTGATATATAATATACTGAAATAATTCTGGCTTTTTTTTTAACAAGGAATTAATTATGGTTTATATCGTATTCTTGTATCCAATCTAATATATATATTTAAAAGGGAGTTTTTCCCCGAGTTTTTAGTGAGCCATGTGAGATTTAATTTTCTTAGCGCGCCATGTAAGATTATAAATTTAAATGGTAGCCAATTAAATAAAAGATTATTAATTTCTTTTACAATTAAATAATTCAAATGCCACGTAAGCAAAATTGGCGAATGAGATTTTAAAGTTTAAATTAATTAAATACAAAATATTATCTTTTGAGATTATGAATTTTATCTAATATTTTAAAACTAATATAATAACAATTTTAATCACATAAATATGAAAAATATTTTTTTAAAAAAAATACTAACAAACCGTGCATCGCACGGGATTCATCTAGTGTATTTATATTCCACTCATGAATTGGGTCTCCTAATATTCTTTCTTCTTTTTTTTTCTTTTCTTTTTTATTTTTTTTTATATTTTAAAAATAAATAAATAAACTTGCCCGCGCAAAGTGAAAAAAATCCAAAGTAAGGTGCTGGATTATAATTTCATCTTTTAAACCATTAATTGAATTCAAATCTCATGATTTTTAAAATCTGGTCAAAACTCAACACATGCAATCAACCACACGAGCAAGAGGATTATTAATGAGAGATTTATATAAATAATAACAGAAGCAATGATGGTTTATCCACAATTCCACACCAAGACATGGAATTGCTTTTGTGTTCAACATCATTATATCAGTGGATAGTGATGACATGAACTTACACTTAAAATATACTCCCAACTTTTTGTCCAAAGTAATTTTCAATCTGAGCGACGAGTACAGACCTGTTTAGTTCGCCTTATATTTATTTATATGAACTAATCTGGTATGGTATGATTTGATATGGTATGGTCTAATTTGATTGTCTTATTTGATCAAATTTTGACCTTAAGTGTACGATAATCTATAAAAGAAAAATATATCAAGTGAGATCTTGTTAGATTCGTAATAATGTGTATTTTATTAATATGTAATTTTCATAATTTTTTTCATTACGAAATTAGAGATATTTAGCGATAAAAAACTGCACATAAAACGATGATCTGATCTGATCTGATCTGAACTTATTTTTCTGAAATAAGTAAAAATAAGGTAAACTAAACAGGGCTCAAGTCTTCTTTAAATATAATCTTATGTTTATGGCCACTACTAATATATATATATATATATATATATACGGGAGGGTTCCGCTAAAAACAGGGCTTATGGTGAAAACTAAAAACAGCAAATCTCAGCCATTGATTATTAATGATATAATCTAACGGTTGAAATACAAGGTACACAAAATCTTAGCAAATTTCAGCAAATCCTCTGTTAATTTTGCTGAAAAACGCAAAATCTCAGCAAATTTCAGCAAATCCTCTTTTCATCTCATTATCAAATCGTCAATTCCTCAATTCGTCAAATTTTAGGGCTACTTTGATTATTTACTCCCAAAATTGAGGGCTCGTGATTCTTCAATAATTTGGGGCTTCCTCAATAATCTTAGTAAGTGTTCTTCATTCTTTAATTTCTGTTTTTAGCTGAATTTCTAGTTGATTGCGGCTTACAATACCGATATAACTGTGATTATTTCCTTGTATATAAGCTGAATTTCTTGAATTTCTATTTGATTGCTCTGTTTTTTAGTTTCAATCTCATCAACTTGTAGTTTCAATCCTCATCAACAATATGCTCTTTTTTCGTTTTTGTATAAATATTTGCAATATATATATATTTTTTTTATATTAAAGTTTTTTTTTCCTGGATATATGATATTAAACACTAGGAGAAATTGTTGCACATAAGGTGTTTGTGTATTTGCTTAAATGACTAACACCTTGCTTAATACGATATAGTAACTCTTTTTTATGATACCATAACCATATATTTTAGACTGTTTTTGTTGGTGTCCAGTTAGTTGCACCATGGAATGGATTATTTTATTATAGTACCCATTTTAAACCATATATTTGATATTATATGCAGACAATGCAAGAGGAGTCGGAAGAAGGTAGTTGCTCAAATACATCTACAACTACCAATGTTGCTGAAAACTTACCGTCACTAAAGGGCCCAAGTGTGTGTTACACTCCCAGAGGAACAAAAGAGTTTATACCGTGTTGTCCCCCTGAACTAAAGCCTACACTTGGTATGCTTTTTGATTCCTTACTTAAAGGTGTTGATTTTTATAAGCAATATGCTAGATTTGGTGGGTTTGTGGTAAGACTAGGTACTGAAAAGAGAATTAAAGATAGTGATAAAGTCTACTTGAAATATTTACATTGTAATAAACAAGGGTTTACGAAGGATGGTGAAACTAAAGCAAAAGTTTCTAACAAAGATAAAAATCCTAAAGCTAGAAAAAGAACCATAAATCGTGTTGGATGTAATGCAATGATTGGGTTTAGAGAACGTTCAGATGGAAAATGGATGGTTTATGTCTTTCATGAATCTCATAGCCACAATCTTGCTTCTCCCAACACAATGAATTTTTTGGCAAATGTTGGAAACCTTAAACTTGGCCAGAAAAAATTCATTTTTGACAACTCTAGATTGAACATTGGTCCAAACAAGTCTTATAAGTTGATGAAAGAACATATTGGTAGCTATGATAATATAGGTGCAACATTGAATGATTTCAAGAACTTTAATCGAGACTTGAAAGCTTACATACAAGAGAAAGATGCTTCGATGTTTATAAACAATTTGAAAGAAAAAGCTGAAAACAGTGAAGGTGCCTTTTTCTTTGAGCATTGTATGGATGAACATCAACGCTTGACAAGAGTATTTTGGGCAGATGCAATTAGTAGAAAAAATTATTCGTTGTTCTGTGATATGATTACATTTGATACAACATTTGACACCAACAAATACTCTATGGTTTTTGCCCCATTTACGGGTGTTGATCACCATGGTAAGTGTGTGACTTTTGGGATAGGCTTACTTGCAAAGGAGGATATTGAATCCTTTGAATGGTTATTTGAAACTTTCTTAAAGGCAATGAATAATTGTCAGCCTACCTGTATCATGACAGATCAAGACCCTGCGATGAAAGTGGCAATTGAAAAAGTTCTTGATAAGGCAAAACATAGGTTTTGTATGTGGCACATTATGAAAAAAGTGCCACAAAAGGTAGGGCCCAAATTATGCTTAGAAACTGATTTTCTTCATAAACTAAACTCTGTTGTGTGGAATAGAGACCTTGAACCAGAAGAATTTGAAATTGGTTGGCAGTCTGTGATGTCTGAATTTGATTTAGTGAATGAAGATTGGTTCAAAAATATGTATAATATAAGGAATATGTGGATTCCTTCCTACTTTCGTGACCTTTTTATGGGTGGGATTTTAAGGTCAACTCAAAGATCAGAGAGTGAAAATAGCTTTTTCACTAATTTCACCAATCAGCATTTGTTATTGGTTGAGTTGTGGTTTCGCTATGAATCTGCAATCGATGCTCAAAGGCACACACAAGACAAGTTGAATGCTACTTCAAAAACTACACATCCCCAACTTGTCACCCCCCTGTACTTGGAAAAGCATGCTGCATTTGCTTACACTCATAATGTATTTTACATATTCCAAAAGGAATTCAAGCATGCTTTGTACAATTGTGGTATAAGTAATGTTACCATCAAAGAAGAAGAAGGGATTGAGCAATATAGAATTGTTGACAACACAAGGAAAAAAAGCTATCATGTCACATATGTTTTGTGTTCTAATGATGCTTCATGCTCTTGTAAAATGTTTGAATCTGTTGGAATATTATGTCGTCACATTCTCTTTGTCATGAAAGGAAAGTTCTTATTTGAGATTCCAAGGCAATATGTTTTACATCGTTGGACTAAAGAAGCTATGAAGAAACCAATTTTTGGCTTAAACAACTTGCTTGATGGGGCAGAGAAGGATAAGAAGCAAAAGCTAGTTGGTGATTTATGGTGCAGGTTTTTTTCATGTGTAAGTCTTTGTGAGGAGAAAGTTGAATGCCTAGAGTCATTGTTGTCTAAGCTAATATCTTTTGAAAATGAGATGAAAGACTTGGATTCTATAAGTCCAGTTGATAAACGTGAGGCAAAAAATAAACACATCGAATTATTTGTTGGATCTAATGACATAGTTGTTGATATTCTTCCTCCAAACAAGTCTTCCAACAAAGGTAGTGGTAGTGGAAAAAGGAAAAAATCTGACAAAGAGATAGCTATTGAGGAAAGCCAAAGGAAAGATAGACTTTGTAGAACTTGTGGTCAGAGAACAAACCATGATAGTCGGAATTGTCCGCAAAAAAAATCCAACTTGAATGAGGTATTTTTGTAGAAAAAAATAAATAAATTTTGTACTATGTTTACTTCCCACTAGATTTTCACTTTATATATGTTCGTGTACATGATTTCAGGATTTCAAAGAAGAGTAGAAAGGCTGCAAAACCACTTCATATTTACAAGAAGCAACATCGGCTACTGACAGCCTAGTGCTGAAATAGAGGAGATGAGAGGAAAGAAAGAACATAGTGCTATAGTGCCCTTTTTATTGATATAGTGATTGTTATTGTTTCACATATATTAAACAGGGACCTTTTATTGCTCAAATTTTATTGATAGGGTGACCTTTTATTGTTAAACTTTTTATTGACCTTTATATTGTTATTTTGATGTAGTGACATATTGGCATATGATAACTTCAATTTATATTATAGTATGTGTTTTTAACGTCATAGTGACTTTTTTTCATCGTATTGACACCTTATTCCGTGATAACCTTTTTAGTGATATAATGACCTTTATTATGATATAACAACCGTATAAAAAATACTCACATTTTAACAATTCTTCTAATCCACATCGATTAAGCCAATACAAAGTTAGGGAAGGAGGGGCTCGTTCTTTTAATTGATATACTAAATGAATAGCTTAAGAATAGATTAATATAAATACGACACTTTTACCTTACATAGTGACCTTTTATTTAAATAGAGACAGATTATTATAGACATCTTTTTTATCACATAGTAACGCTCTTGCATCTCATAGTGATCCTTTTGCATCGCATAGTAATTGGAAATTTTTACCTCATATAATGCCATTTTACTTACATAATGACTATAAAAAGTAATATAATATCCTTTTTCAAGTTTTTCTTTTCTTTTTTAAGAGATAAAAAAAAGTTAGACATTTTTAGGTACATATTTATCATAGGTCCTTTGAAAACTTGTCACATATGTATACAAAATATAATAATGAATATGGTGATAATTTTGCATTATAACTTAATTATATATAACACATTGAACTAATAACATTTTAAATACATAGTGACCTTATAATATAGAAACCTTTTAAATAACATAGATACCTTTTTAAATACATAGTGACCTTATCATATAGAAACCTTTTTAAATAACATAGGTACCATTTTTTTATAACATAGGCGCCAAATTTATAACTAATATATATTTCACTAAACTTTCTTGAATGTCAATTAAAGATTACATATCAAAAGAACTACCAATACCACCAATTCAAAAGCTTTGTATGAACTGGAATCATATCATATTGTTCTATATTAACACTTATACAATTTTGTCAGATTATCCATTTGTTGATGCAAACTACATCATTACATTAGATTTCCTACTTCTGTGCAAAATACAAATACTTCCGAGCAAAAAACTTCATCCACATATTCGTTAGTCTGCCTATACTTTCTTTTCCTTTTTACCTTGCTTTGTTTTCTTCTTAATCCCATCAAAAACATCTTTTGCAACTTGACTCCTTATTAATCTGAATTCAGATAGCTTTTCAAGAACTTCATCTCTGACAATGTTCATATCAGATAATACCAGAGTAGCAGCAATCTGAGCTCTCAATGTCCGTCTAGTTGAAACCTAAATTTAAGCAAAAATTAGAATAAAAAAGCTAGTTAAATTCCATGGAGGAAATAGTTAATATAATAAAAATTGAAAGCCAAATAAAAAAAATGAGACGAGATAACCGTTTTCAAAACATTGCAGTCGAACACATCAGCTCCATCAAAGTAAAGCATGCTGACCATAGTATAAATGCCACTATCATTATTCTTCTGTTTTCCAGACTTCCAATTTACAGAAGGTGACTCCAAAGTATACTCAATCATGTTCTTCACTGAGTCATTACTTTGAGGAAGGCGTTGATCAAGAAAAGTACTCAGCATATCACTCTAGGCAAAATAAATTAATACTTTAGGTTCCATGAAGCATATCCTAACTAGAAAAATACAAATAAAATCCAAAATATCATATTTTTACCAGAACATCAGAGAACTTCTCAACCTCACTCATGTACTTTGTATCATAACTCATATTATCTATGAACTGAAGCTTTTCTTCCTTCAAATTCACAACAATTAGGAAAAAGTGTTCATTCAAGAGTATAGGAACAAATATCTGCAATAAATAAATAAACAACTATTAAGCTTGAAAAACTTAATATAAAAGTACTTAGTTGAAAAATGATTGTCAACATTTGCAATGTATTACCAACTCAACATTTGCAATATCAAAATCATTGCAAGGAATGAACAACCATCTTGACCAAATGTCAAATAGCTTGTCAATGTCTTGTGTGTTACTATCTGTGTTTGCAACTTTCAGTAAAAAAGCCTAAAAAAGAACAAACATTAATAAATATTAAAAAAATTAGAAGGTAGAGTTATTTTTCTTAAATGTAATTACTTGCATTACATAGTGACTGTTTTCATTGCATAGTGAAATTAATTTATGAATCATAGTGACTGTTTTCAATACATAGTGAAATTAATTTATGAATTTTTTATAATGAACAACTACCATTATAATGATGTAGTAACTAAATAGCCGAAAGATACTTACACTTTGAGAAACACCAAAATATAGTTTTTGAGGTCCATGTGCACTACTCTTCTGGTTTTCATTAAGCAACATAGCCCAACAATCAATAATAACAGAAGATATAGCAATAGCCGGTGCACCTAATGAAAGGAATTCATTCCTTGTAATCTCAAATGGTTTGCCAAAAGATACCAACACCTCACTGTACAAGGAAATAAAAAGACACATGTATATTAACATAGTCACTTATTATTAAAATTTGAAAATAAATAACAAAAAGAACAATGACATGACTTACTTGAGATCGAAACCATGATAATCACTAATGCAGTAGTCAACAAGTTCCTGGACAACTGCATCCAAAACCTTCATATCCTTATTACTTGACTTCATATATTCAGTTACATATGTAACTTTATCACCAAAGAGACTAACATCCATAGCAAGGGAGCATTTAGATTTTCCATTACTCAAAACATGCTCAAAACCTATCCTTGGAACCTCACCAACTACAACATTAATCTCTTTTGCAGGTGCACCATTATCATCAATATCATCATCATCCAAACCATTAGGCACTTTGCTTACCCAATTTACAAGAGACACAATCTCATCAACAATTTCATGAACACGAGGATTCATAAAGAATAAATCAGTTTGGGACATTGGAGGTGTCGAAGTTGAAGCATCATTAGATTTACGAGTCTGAAATAACACTTTCAACTCATTCATGTAGAAGTTAGATACCACTTCTAAATCTCTTTTCATGAGCAAAAACTTCTCATAAACTTCCTGTGAAAAAAAAATGTACCACTTAGATTTAATAAAATAATTTGTGACAAAAAAAAAAAAAAAGAAAGAAAAAACCAAACAGACAGACAGAATTAAAGGGTAAAATACTTACATCAATAGCAATTGAACGGATTTCCTCATTAGACATTGAACTGGCAGGTAGCTCAAACTGAATAACACCCTTAACATTGCTACGGACACCTTCATAAACAACAGATTCTTTTCCAGAAGTTTGATTCACAGGAGCTTCCTTGAATTGATTACAAACAACTTGTCCATCCTCAAATTGCAACTTCTCACTCACTGGATATGTATCAAACTCAAGAATTCCACACCCAAAACCCTTGGACAACTTTTCATTTCTAATTCTATCTCTTATATCCACATCAGTCCAATGTTGAATTAAAGGTATTGTAGAATTTAACACAACATTCCTAAACCTCAATCGATGAAAATAGATAATCTCTAACATCAAAACACAACCACAAAACCATTCTATATTTCCTTCTTTGTAGCTCTTCACAGCTTCACAAAGTCTATCTAAGACATATTTTGACCAATTATAAATTCTTATTTGATTAACATCAACCAAACATTTTACAATTCTCAAATCCACAGTTCTGTTGGACGTAGGTGCTAAAAAACTTGAAAAAGCATGCATGATAAAAAGCTGTCTGAATTCTTCCCCACCATCTACTAGTAAAGGGATCTTAGATTCCAAAAAACCCAAAGGAATCTGATCATTCTCACCCATAAGACCAAAATGAGACCTCCATTTAACCTTTAAATCATAATCAGGGTTGATGACATTAGCACAACGAGAAATTTCTTCAACTTTCTTAGATGTTTTGCAAGGAAGGCAAAAAACATCATACACATCAAATTCAGTCACAACAAAATCTTTTTTACCATCAATAGTAAACATGCAGCTACCATGATCAAAACAATCTACCAACCATGATAGCATATCAGTTGCAGTTCGTTTCACCTTCAAAGATAACAAACCTCCAAAGCCAATTTCTTTAACAGCCTTGATTTGATCATCTGAAAAAGTTTTAATCATCTCTACTAAATGAAATGGCCTGCAACGTGTTTTAAATCCTCGTTGCACCCTGTAACAAGACATACGAAAAGATAAACAAAAGAAACCAAAATAGTAGCCTCTTTTTATAGCATAGTGACCTTTTTTTTAAACAAAACTTCAAAAAAAAGAAACAAATATTCACTTACATATGTACATCACTATCTATGATTGCAGATTCTTGCCTATGAATCACAATGTTCTTATCCTTATTTGCCTTCACTTTCTTCACTTTAAGACCTTCATTTTCATCCAACTTTCTCTTCTTAGCTGGCAAAACAATAGCATGTGAAGAAGAAGACTTATTCCCCTTCTTTCCTTCCATCACAGTTGACAAAGGTATAGCATTCTCAATGTTAGAAGGTTTCTTTTTCTTAGTGATAGCTTTCTTTTTCAATCCTTTTTCAATACAAGCATCTTTATCTCTGTTAGTATCATCATCGATCATTTTGCTTCCGTCATCAATATGCTCTTCATCTTCATGATCGAGATTGATACATGCTAAAAACACGCAAGCATATAGTTATATATACAATTATCTTCATTTTAATCTAGCAAACAATTATAATATAGCAAACTAATAACTTAAAAATAATAATCATTGTCATTGATATAGTGACCTTTTTCAGTTACATAGAGAACTAATAATATAGTAACTTTTATATTAATATAGGGACCTACATTCTATAGTATTAGGAGACTATCATAATAGAGCAACTAGTATATTAAGGTTAATAATCCAAAAATCAAACATTCATCATACCTCCTGTATCTTTCAATTTAACTCCTCCTGTTGAGCTACGAAGGCCTCTCCTTTTTTTAAAAGTAGCACCACCTCTAGTTCTCACCATAGTTATAAAATCTAATCCAAATCGAATGAAAATCCTTGTTGCACCCTGTAACAAGACATACAAAAAGATAAACAAAAGAAACCAAAGTAGTTGCCTCTTTTTATGGCATAGTGACCTTTTTTTAAAACAAAACTTCAAAAATAACATAGTCCAACACCCCTCCAAAAAGATTCAGTTTATTTTGGTTTGGTTTAGAACAAGTTCAGGTCATATTCATATTTATGTCTTTTGACAACCAATTTGTTTACGAATAAAAAAATCAATTCAAGTCAGGTCAGGGCAGTGAAAATCAAATCAAACTAAGGTATCCAAATCCTCGAATTCTGGCTACCTTGATTCAAGTTCAAAACAGGCCTAATTCAGAAATTTTGAAGCAAAATCCAGTACAGAGTCAAATTAACCATGCACATATGTCAGACTAGAAGTACACTTTTCAACAGTCAAGAAAGTCATGTAGATGTCGATTTAGCATGATCAGAAGCAATCTATCACAAATCCACCCCAGATGTTTGTTCCTGGGTTAGTCGCTTAAGCAATCTGCTCTCAACACCAAAAATCGGACATATAGAATCAAAGTCAGTATCTTAAACCAGGAAGCATTCTTCATACTTTATGTTCTTTCTTTCTTTCTTTCTTTCTACGGTTGATGTGGAAAGAGTCTTTGCATCAATATCACAAACACCAGAAAATTTATCTAAGTGCAAAAGGCAAATAATTCATGTAGGAACCTAATGACATTTGATGCAGCTGAAACCACTTCAAATCACAAATAAGAAAAGACAGGTTGTAAGAGAGAAACACAACAGCATCAAGGAACACCAATGCAACCAAGGCAGTTAGTCCATCTCCAAACATGTCACCATGTTGGTCAGGTCTCAATTCCAGATCATCATTAGCAAGAGATTGATGACCATTCCTGTTGCCTACACCAAACGGAACACGGGAAAATACAAATCGAGTTGGACACCAAGTGGAAGCAGGAACCAGTGTAGCTAATTTATGTCTCCAAACTCTCACTAATTCACTCACAAATCCACTAAAAACACTTCAAATTACTCAAAATTCGAATTAACTACTCCAAACTCTCACTAATTCACTCACAAATCCACTAAAAACATTTCAAATTACTCAAAATTCGAATTAACTACTCCAAACTCTCCCGAATTCACTCACAAATCCACTAAAAACACTTCAAATTACTCAAAATTCGAATTAACTACTCCAAACTCTCCCGAATTCACTCACAAATCCACTAAAAACACTTCAAATTACTCAAAATTCAAATTAACTACTCCAAACACAAACACACACACACAATTCGCATTTTAGTTATTCGCATTCCTAACAGGCATTAATTCGAAATCAAAATCCACAAAAATCAGCTAAACTCGAAATCAACAAAAACAAAATTATGCTCAACAAAAATCGTGTTACTAAGAAGATGAAGAAGAACAACAAAAGCAGAATTTCGAGCAAAAATACACATAAAAACCTAGTTTACTTAAATTAAGAAAAATTAAACAAAATACATTTAAAAAATACTTCTACTAAAACGAAACTTAAGTTGAAATTCAAAAAATAAAATCAAATCGAAAAAATAAAATAAAAAAACATGCAAAATTACAAAATTAAACAAAAATCATACACGAAAACATAATAGACATTAAATTTTCGGTTGAATCTACAAAAAAGTACTCATGAAATTCCAGCAAACAAAATTTCAGAAACCTAATAACCTCAAATCGTGCAAAAATAGCGAAATTACCACAAAGAACTCACCTGATAATAGATCGTAGAGCTGAGAAATTGCTAAAAATCAA